AGCAGCTGATCAGACCGTTTTTCATTTTCCATTTCATTTCCATTTTAGTTTCTAAACCCAACGTAGTCAGACCCAATTATTAACGGTAATATAAAGAGACCTATAAAAGAACACACGGGAAAATACTCTGGAAGAACATATGTTAAAAAAACATACTCAATGCCCGAAAAAACAACGGATGGGGCAAAACACACCGCAGACCACACTGATTATCGATTGCTATTTTCTTCACACTGTATTGTACAAACTACAATAAACGAACACTTTAAAGTATGCTATTTGAATTCTTTTTTTTCTGGGAGAATACAAAATGAAGAGCTGAAATAAATACCGGAGCTAACGAGGTATTTATCTACGTAATTTCAAAATGAAAATATGGACTGACATAGATATCATAGATATCAACTTTCCAGGGATTAATGAGTACAGGCGAATAACGCGGATCACCTACTGGATGATGATTAAACAAGATAATCCAGTAACAATTATTGCCACAACAGCATTACGTAAGAGAGGATCACGACGTAAACGATCGGCAATGTTTTTTAACAGAGCAGGAAAATACGTATATTGTTCTTGTTAAAAGACCTTTGTGGGTTATTCATACGTAATTTTAGTCGCAGATTTTATTTTTGGCGGATTTCGAGATGATTTTATGGTGTCCAGTTGTGAAATGCTACTCATAACAGTAAATCCTCCGATCTTGATGTGTTGTTACCCAGTGGTGCTAAAATCATGTGCGAACCCCCTGGCACAAATTGTTTCATTCATCTTTAATACATGTGTGTCAGAGGGTAGACTAGTTGGCACATGGTGTGATGTTCGCATCACTCTAGTACCTAAGAAAGAAAAGGGTAAGTTTCGACCTATTGCTTCTTTGTCAGTACTACTTAAGACACTTCAGCGAATTGTTACAACGAATCTATTCTCTTCTCTTGATTTTGGTGAGCCCAATCGGTTCGCTTATTGTAAGCGTCGCTTTACTGTAGATGCGGTTACTTGTCTTATATATTCTGTTTTATCGACTAAAAACACAAAATTGTTCATGTTTGTTCATGCTTTTTGGATGACACAAACACGTTTAACTCGGTTGAAAGAAACATCCTTTGGTCACTGTTGCGGTAACACAATCTCCAGCCTCATCTTTTGAATTAGATGCACGACCAACCAACCAACCGACCAACGCCACTTCACTTATCTCAATGGTATTTGGGCTTCCACTGTCAAAGTAAACCAAGGTGTAATGCACGGTGCAATTTTATCCCCTTTCCTGTTCTCTCTTTGTATTCAAAACTTGCCAGTCACATTGACTGTTTTCCCATTTAAATATGCCGATAACATAGTGGTTGGTGGTGCACCTAACAACAAAAGCAACTCTTCAACTAACCCCCTCAATCAGCCATAAGTTCCACTTCTGAATGGTCCAATGGTGTTAAACCTTTCCTTAATCCCGAACAAATAAATGTATCGAAGCTTTGTTTTCCATTAATTGCAAGCCATCAATACCTCCTGAAACAGATATTCCCAATATCGTGATCAAAAACTTGAACGTTGAAACAGGACATCAAATACGTTGGATGTTTGTTTTTTGTTTACTGACCTCAAATGGTCCCACCACGTGCAACAAACATTTTCGGAATTTGACGTTTTATATCTCACGCCTTCGACATCTGAGGATGTCATTTCTAAATTTATTTTCTCATGCGTCTTATGTCATTAGACCTAGTGCTCTCCCGTTATCTTCCCTGGTTTACTGTCTAAGGATTGATTTCATATTGATCAGACGCTTTCTGAAAAGTATTGTTAGATATGGAGTTGTCCCCTATGTGACGCTAGTTGACTCTATTCCCAACCACAACACCTTCAGGTGTGCGACCGTTTGTGTGACTCATTCTTGTCTGATACATCACATTGTTTACACTCAATCCTTCCTCGCTCCATTTCCACTCCTGTCACCTGTGTGAAATGTAAATCTTTATACATTCGCATCACAGCTTTTCACAATTTCCTCGGTACATTGGTTTTCCGTTTATTTGGTTTCCAGAGCACAAATATTAAATGTGCTGTTGTATAACCTATATGATGAGTTTGTCGTGTAAATGAGGCGTGAGCTGGAAAGCTGAAAACCACTGAACAACTGTTTCGACCTGATTGAGTCTCATCAGCAATGCAAATTCATCGACCCAACTGGGGATCGAACCCAGAACCTCATAGGTAGAATAATCTCTTGTAAATTTTCCTTGCTACAATTTTCTGCTTTTGCTACGCGTTCTTGGTCCCCATCATCATTGTCTATTTACTAAATGTCATGTATTTAACAGTGTGTATGCCGAAGTAAAAGTAATAACATTATTTTCGCTGAAAATTCTGTTCACAATGAATGAATAAAATGCACTCTTAGCTTGACTTGACCTGACTTGAAAAAGGTGATCAACCAAATGCGAAGCGATCAGAACGCGATTGAGCTTACGTCTTACAGACGTGACATCTGTTCAAATTCTGCCGAGGCTCTTGACCTGTACCCAGTTAGATTACATCAAACTACATTCGCCTATGATGAGTCTTGTATAAATCGAAGTCATATACCATAGGTGCGGTCGAGCTATCCCGATCAAAGTTAATTTTGTTGAGATTGTGAAAAGTTCAGTAACTTCAGTGGGATTCGAACCCACGCTCTACCAGCTGAACCTCGGTTAACTTTGTGAAACGTTATCATGAATTTACCGGTTCCTCTCCCCATGAC